CAACGTTGCAAAATATCTTAAATGTTTGTCTGTACACTCTTAACTTTTTCAATCTTACTGGCTCTCCTCCCTCCACAGCGGCTTCTCGCCACTTCACCAAGCCAGTAGTTCCCTCTTCCCGTCCTCTTGTTTATTTCAGACAGCTTCCAGATCCTGCGTGGAAAGGTCCTGCACAGCTCCTCACCTGGGGAAAAGGTTACGCTGCTGTCCAACTTCCTGATCGAGTGCTTTGGGTTCCTGCTCGCTGTGTCAGACCTTACCATGGCAAACCTGACTCTAACTCTAATCTTTCTTCTGATATCAATACTTCCTGTCTTTTCTCAATTTAAGGCATCTCCTGATGCTATTTTTGCTTTCCTTGCTGACACTGTTACCTTTATTTTTAAAGATAATCTTCTTTCTGCATGTAATTATGTTTCCCAACACAATGGTAGTTTTCTTTCTCCTACTTCTGACATAACTATTTACTATTACTATTCTCCTTGTTTAATATTTTTAACTATACATGTTACTCCACTTACTATAGGTTCTTATTCTTGCTTAGGATTTTTTCACAATCACACTTATTTCAATCACACTGTTCTATTGCTCTCCACTTCTTCAGTGGCATCTCCTCCACTATCCTCTGTTTTACTTACGTTGCCATCTCAAGCTAATTCTGAGAAAACTTTTCCTGGAGACAAACTGCGATGGCATCTTCGTTGCTGCTTTCCACCCTGTGATGTCACCAAATGCATATTGCATCATTCATCTTCCTGGGTTCCTGATCACTACAAACCACCTGTCGTGCGAAGACGATACCTCATCCATGATGACATCCATCGCAAGACTACAGCTCTCATTCGAGCTCGCCATCTTAGGTATCCTGCCTTTATTGCTGACAACTCCATCTCTAAACAGTCTGCATCTCATGCTGTTCCAAGATTTGGCTATCATCGCACTCCTCGAAGTATACAATCATCTTCTACAAATGAACATCAACCTCAAACTTATACCTGGACTATCCTTGACTTTCAAGGAAAAATTTTAAACACCACCACTAATTATACTCGATGGCCATGGTTTCCTCAGCTTTTCATGGATTTTGCTGAAATGGGGACAGGAGTAGAAAAATTTGCAGACAAAAAACTACAAGCTGACACATGGGACAAGCAAGGCTCCTGTTCTCCAGCACCTGCTGACAACTTTAGATTATATTTTTGTCCTGCTCATAGTACTGGTACTTCTCGTTCTGCCTGCGGTGGGGTAGTTGACAGATATTGTAAAAAATGGAGTTGTGTATCCACAGGTCATATCTGGTGGGAAGCACCTACCAAAAATGACTATATTCATATTACCCGTGCTCAAGCACATCTTCCCTGCTCTCAATGGCCTTGTTGTGGACAGAGAATAAATCCACTCAGAATCACCTTTACTGCACAAGGAAAGACACTTGCAAGAAAACAATGGATGGTTGGGTTTACTTGGGGAGGACGTCAGTGGGATGGTCAAGGAGATGAAGGGAATATTTTTACAATTCGTCTTTCAATATCAATGTCTAATTATGATGTTGGTCCCAATCCTAATTTGAAATCAACCTTTCTACAAAAACCCAATATTCAGGTGAATCCATTAGTACAGTTGGTCAATTCTTCTTACACATTGCTAGCAACTACACTTAATGATTCATCCAAAACTGATCAATGTTGGCTTTGCTTATCTGATTTGCCACCATTCTATGATGCAGTAGCTTCCAATGAACATATTAGTAATTCCACCAGTGACACACAATGCAGATGGAACACTTCCTCCATTACTATCACTAACATAATAGGTAGGGGATGTTGCCTAGGACACATACCTGCTAATTATTCTCAATATTGTCAGAAGGTTTCATCAGGGTATCACTGTAATGTATATTTACCAAAAGAAAGATCAAACCTTAACATTGGAGGTTATGGTCCTCTATACACTACCTCCAATGGCAATATCACAGCTCGTCTCAAAGGACAATTCTTTATCCCAGGTAATAATTCTATATGGGCTTGCTCCACAGGAACAACTGCATGTGTTCATGGTGATGTTCTTATTGCTCAGGGATCTTTTTGTATTCAGGTAAAATTAATTCCAAAGATCACATTTTATCCAGGTTCAGAACTTATCAATGAACTTGAACCTCCACAATTTCCCCTTTATCAGAAAAAAGAAGTCATTACAGCTGTAACACTATCTGTATTATTAGGTCTTGGGGCAGCAGGTGCAGCCATAGGTGTAGCAGCTCTAGCTGTTGGTCATCAACAGTTAGCAACCCTAAGTTTACAAATAGATGAAGATCTCAAACGCATAGAGACTTCAATTACTGCTCTTCAAAATTCTCTCTCATCTCTAGCTGAAGTGACTCTTCAGAACAGAAGAGGTCTAGATTTGTTATTTTTAAACAAAGGGGGATTATGTATAGCAATAAAAGAAGAATGTTGTTTTTATGCAGATCATTCAGGAATTGTTAAAGATTCTATGGCTGAATTGCGTAAACGTTTGAAGGATAGAGAGAATGAAAGACAACAAAGTCAGTCATGGTATCAAGGCATGTTTAATTTTTCTCCCTGGTTAACAACACTATTGTCAGCCTTAATTGGTCCTCTTGTGCTATTGCTTCTTGCATGTACTATTGGTCCATGTGTAATAGGACGTTTACTTACATTTTTGAGGGATCGTTTGAATACACTTGACAATGAAGTTAACAATACTCAAAAAACAGTTAGCTTTCTCACATCTATCATTGAATCAAAAGACCTTGTCAAAAAACCTTTGCTGGAATGGTACTCTGACCAAGAGTCAGAGGAAGAATTAGACACTAAAAATTCCTTTTCTCCCAAAGAAGTTTTGTTAACTCTGCCAAGTCATGATTTGGGGGATGAGGACTTTTTCTCGTATGAGTTGGTTCTGCAAGGCACCAACAAACTGAAGGGTTTGTTGCCACCTTATGGGACTACTCAAGAGGAAAAAGGACTCTACCTAGAATCATGAGCACAAAAAATAAAGAAAAGGAGGAATTGTGGCTATTCTATTCTGTCTTGGTAATTTTCCATAGAAGAAATCTTGCTTAACACGTATACCTCTCAGAGCAAAGTTCACTAAGCTGACAGGAAAAAGGAGCTGATAAGATTAACTTCACAAAAGCCTGTGAAAGGATGTGTATTCAGTTTCACAAAAGCCTGTGTCAGATAAAAAATGTGTATTCGATAGCAGTCACGATGTATCATCACAGAAGCTTGTGTCAGATAAAAATACAGGAAAAAACATGCTTATCAATAACAGTCAAGAAGTTCGTTACTTGTATCACGTTAAGCCTGTTTTCAAAGATAAAGTTTGTAACTTCTTTGTCTTTCTGTAAACCCCCCTCACCCCCCTCTTTGATTCAGCACAATAAAAGGGGACAGCGTAGAGCAAGCTGGCAGCCTGAACAATCCATCTGTCTCAGGCTCAACCGGGGCAATTCCATCTGCCTCAGGCTATGTGCTTCCTCACCTAAAGAAATCATTTGTTTTGTGTCTTTTTTCTTTGTGCTTGGCACTCACTCTTGCGAGAGTCCTGCTAAGCCTCACCCTTGCAAGGGTCCCTCACTCGCCCTTGCGAGGGCTAAGCTTCCTGAAAGGAATTCAGCAATCAACCTGAAGATCTAAACAACAGACCGGTCGCTCGACGCAACACTGGTGTTGGTCCACTGTGCTTCATTAAGTCCAGCGTCAATGCAGCCGTCTACCAGGAGATTTTGGAGCACTTCATGCTTCCTTCCTCAGACGAGCTTTATGAGGATGCTGACTTCACTTTCCAGCAGGACTTGGCACCTGCCCACACTGCCAAAAGCACCAAAACCTGGTTCAATGACCATGGGATTACTGTGCTTGATTGGCCAGCAAACTCGCCTGACCTGAACCCCATAGAGAATCTATGGGGCATTGCCAAGAGAAAGATGAGAGACATGAGACCGAACAATGCAGAAGAGCTGAAGGCCGCTATTGAAGCATCCTGGTCTTCCATAACACCTCAGCAGTGCCACAGGCTGATAGCTTCCATGCCACATCACATTGAGGCAGTAATTGTTGCAAAAGGGGCCCAAACCAAGTACTGAGTACATATGCATGCTTATACTATTTAGAGGTCCGATATTGTTCTATGTACAAGCCTTGTTTTATTGATTGCTTGTAATGTTCTAATTTTCTGAGATTGTGGATTTGGGGTTTTCATGAGCTGTAAGCCATAATCATCACAATCATGACAAATCACGGCTTGAACTATCTTGCTTTGCATGTAATGAGTCTATCTCATATATTAGTTTCACCTTTTAAGTTGCATTACTGAAATAAATGAACTTTTGCACAATATTCTAATTTTTCGAGTTTCACCTGTATATCCTAATAGTTTATTTCAGCCCAATAAACACTTTTCTGAGAACATGTTCCTGCTGCTAGTTCATTCTCTTTTCTGTTGCAAAAGTTTATCACTTACATTGTGGTGTTAAGTTTGTAATTTTTCCTAAATGAAGAAATAAGATTCCTTATACAATATGGCATCTTTTAGCAATGATTTGGAGAGGAAATATTAGAAATTCAAGAAATTCTACTGGCAGCCAGAAGCTATTTTGGGAAAGAAAAAGAAGCTTGCCTAATTTTTTTAAAAAGCTCTCAACCCACCAATTTCTCTTCAAAATTTGTACATCACTTCCTCAGTTGTGTACTTTTAGTTAATATTGTAATTTATGGCCCTCAAGTAGCAATATGATTTTGGGGGTTAGCTATTCAAACCAGTTAATTTAATAGATTAATCCTGAGCCATAAGCATTGCTTATTGAATATTTGCATTGTGCCACAACACTGTCAAGCAAATAAGAAACTGCTACTTTGTTGGACAACCAGAAATAATGATCCGCCTTTCTCTCAATAATATGACTTTTGTTACCTGTTTAAAGGATTTCTAGATTAGTCACAATTGTGAATAATACTTATTTTTTAATTACCCAGTATATACCAAATGAAAACTTTTGGATGGATTCTTGGGACATGCCACAGAATCAGTTTCCAAAGAGACCCCCTCCATGGCGGAACCACCACTATCCAGACCAAGAGAGGTATGTTACTTCCTCAGCTTACATTACTTAGTCACATCTTTTATTTTCTAGGTAGTTTTGGTTATTGTTGTTTTTAAAAAAGCAGGAAGCTACTTTCAATTTCTTAAAATAGCAGAATAAAAAGAAATAAAGCATGAATAAATAAAAGCCATATAACACTATTTATTGAACAAGCATGGGCAAATAATTTTTCATTTAGGGAGTATCTATGGAGATTCTCAGTCATCCAGGTCATGGTTGTCCCAAAGGAGCTTTTTCAAGAGGCAACTAGACTTTCTGAATTTCTTTGGGGACGTTTCACTTCTCATCCAAGAAACTTCTTTAGCTCTGACTGGATGGTGGGGAATGGAAGGATTTATACTTCTTGCAGACAGCTGGCAATTTGCATTTTCAGCAGTTAATTAAGGTCACCTGGAGGTTTATCTGTGTCATCAGGGTCACCTGAGTGGTGCAAATGGGTGTGGAGCCTTCTTGGAACTGTTGAAAGGACTATGTTGTAGATTGGAGATAGATGATGTTGTATCCCTCCCTCCCTCTCTGTTGAGAGAGAACTGTTCAATTTTGACATAGATGGCCTCTTTGACCCTTCTTTCAAACCAGCAGTCCTCTCTGTCCAAAATATGGACTTTGTTGTCTTCAAAAGAGTGGGCCTGTATCTTTTAAATGCAGATGGACTGCTGAATCTAGTCCTGATGTGTGTGTTCTCCTAAGTTGTGCCACGCATTTATGAAGTGGTTGTTTCGTTTCCCCAATGTACAGATCTGCACATGGCTCACTGCATTGTACTGCATATACCACATTGCTCAGTTTTACCACATATACCACGTTGCTCAAACACCCAGACAGAAACTGAGCAGTGTAGAAACTAAGTTCAAGAAACATCATCTCTACCATATAGAGAGAATACCATCAATCTGGTATAAGTATCATTATGTGTCCAGCGGAAAGGCATTATTTAGTGAGTCTCCCAGGAAAAGACGTTTAGTCAACATTTCTGAACTTCTAGTTTTTACTTAGTAGCATACAAACTTGAGAATAGCAGTAAAAGTTTGGGCACAAAGTACAAAAATGGTAAAAGAGAAATTGTAAGGAATTTTAATAATTAATATGAGAGGAACTGTGAACCAACTCATCTACACGGAGAAGATCCTGTAGTTCAAAGGCTTCACAAACTCTACAAACAGGAGACTCCCTAAAAAAGGAATCCCCTATAGGCTCACAACCAAAGTACCTGCTTGTAGAATAGCACAAAGTTACCATGAGGAAGGTGGCATCTGTGATAAAGCTGAGCCTTGCATCACATCAGCTGGGCGCTTTGGTAAAAAAACAGAAAGAAAAGTTGCTTCTGGGCCCTGGAGCTAGCTGAACAGCAGGCCGAATCCTGCAAATATTTGGCTGGCTGGCTGGCTGGCTGGAAAGTAGACTGAAGTTTATGAGCTGCAACTGCCCTTTGTTTCATTAGAGTCTGCTGCCTGGCTTTAGGCTCCCTTGGAAGCTAAGTGTCCAGGTTGGGAGAAGCCTGAAGTCTGTGGGGAATCTGAGGGACAGAAGGGAGACCCTTGGATGGCTGGATCAGAAGTATGCTGAGGCCTTTGAGCTACAACTGTGGGCTGGTAGCATTGTGTGCTGGTAGCACCTGCTGCCCAGCTTTGGTTTTCCTTGGGTGATTTGTTGGCAACAGACCAAGGCCTGGAGGAATCCGGTGGGATGGGTGGGTGAGATAGATGGGGGGGGGACGCTGCAGTGTCCCTGAGGTCAGTCATATGAGTGAACAACTGCGGAAGAACTGCAGTGGTCATAACTTTGAAACTGGTTTATAAGTCACTTTTAGTGGATCTGTCATAACTTCAAACGGTTGCTAAGCAACTGGTTATAAGTCAAAGGACTACCAGTATTTTCAACAGAAATGAAGCCTATGTTTGTTTGTACTTCTGCAGGCCCTACAACGTCGGTTTTGATAATTACACCCGGGGTTCCTACCATAGGCGTCCTTACCGTGGTCGTTTTTGTACAAGATCTAAAAAGACCTTGAAAGGTTTGTGAGAGTAAAAGACTGGTATGTACTCCAAGCAAAAGAGAATGAAAGAGCAGGAAGCCTCCAAATGGTACAGAAGAAAAGTAGCTGATGAATAAGTGTAATCATGTAACAAAACATATAGTTTTATTTGGATTTTTGGATTTTGGTAAGAACCCTTGGTTTAAAAGGTTGGTAACCCATTGTAAAGAATGTAATTTTCTCTTGAACTGATTCCAAACCAACTTAGCTAGAAAGATTCATTTGCCTGTCTGAAACTTCAAAATATAAATTATATAAACTATGATACTGAACCCCAGATAAAGCAATCATATTTTAGTTAGCATATTGTGTGCCTGCCTGCCTGCCAGCCTGCCTGCCTGCCTGCCTGCCTATCTATCTATCTATCTATCTATCTATCTATCTATCTATCTATCTA